CAGCTGGGTGGTTGGGGGACCAGTGAGGAAGAGGAAGTGATACTGGGAGCAGAACAACTTTCACAGCAGTACAGCAGTGAAGGGATGTTACTATATGTTGCAAGGGCATGTTTTATGAAACCACTTCGTGCAGCCGTCCATGTCTAGACACCCACCCACCCGCTCACCAATGTCTGTAATGAGCAGCCGCCCACCCATGCACACACACACACACACACACACACACACACACACACACACACACACACACACACACACACACACAGGCCCACCATTTCACAACTCCAGTTGGGATGCATCTGTCGAGAAATCTAACTTTCTGCTGTGTCTCCCTCTCATGATCTCTTCAGACTTCTCAGCTTTCACCGCCTGCTCCCTCTCCTCTTCTACTCTTACATTTCACTCCACCTCCTTTCAGCTTCTTCTTGTCATTTAGCAACGTTGGCGAGAGCTGCCTTAAGTTTGACACCTGCCTGCCAAAACAATGATGTCCTCAATGAGAGCCAACAGGTCACTGACAGTGTGACTGCAGACCTGCATTACACACACCCAGAGCAAACAGCAGCAGTGGTGCAACCACAAAAAAAGGGCCACGGCCACCCATACAAATTTCCAGGTCTTCCTACAACTGTCACCAGGCAGAAATGCTTACACTAACAAAGTGTTGCACTGACAAATTTTGCTGGATGAGAAATTGTCACAAAAGTTATTGTGATGAGCAATAATGTGAGACCATCGTCAAGTAACATAATGATAATGACAAAAAGAAAAAAATTGCCATTATGGTTTGCAAAGATCAATAAACTTTCAACAACCATTTAACACTGAATCTGGAAAATATGCAAAATAAATAAACAAAACACCCAAAACAGATAAAATGAAAACAGTAGCTTCTATACAAAATTGTTCTTCAAATAGTCGAGCCAACTGAGACCAAAGCATCAGACTGAAGACTTTTATCATCCAGTCTTTGGTAGAAAACTGTTATGATGATGGAAATGACCATCTGATTATTTGATGTATTGCTCATGGTGACATGTATACTCCGTATATTACTACCAGCAGCTCAGTGGCCATTAGCTGTGTCAACCAGTTCAGATTGGAGTTTCAAGAAATTTGGACGACCCAGAATAGAATAGAACACAAACAGCCTTTATTGCCCTGCAGAGGTCATTCAGGGTGTCATTTATTATGTACATTATTTATTTACATGAACCAACAAGTATTTTAATTATTGTTTTCATGTACTTAAAGTTAAAACTACATATTTCCATACACAGCGAAAACAATAACAGCAACTCTGTGAAGATTCAAGTGAAGCTGGTAATAATGTATCATCTTGTTCCAACACGACCCACATTGCCACTCAGTAATGAAAAATCAATTACTCCAACAGCAACACATTATGGTTTGCAATAACTCAGGGATAAAATCTAATGTTTAAAAATCTGTGTACCATAAATGTAAAAATATAAGTATTTGGGCATTATGAGCATTGTTATGCTGGAAATTTGTCCTTGCTGTACTTGTTGATTTTTGACCTCAGAAAACGATAACCTAACTGTGAAATACATCAGTGGAAGAATCATGTTTGGGCTGAGTTGCTTCAGGAGGGACTGGTGCACTTCACAACATCATGAGGAAGGAGCAGCTCAGGGTTTCGCCCAGTGTGTTATTGGCCTGGCGGCCGACCATGATTTACTAGCAGCGCTGCCAGGCAAAGCGTTGCTTGTTTTTGTTTTTAGGAAAATAATAATTAATTATTTTTCTTTTTTTAATCCGGACTGCAAACGTCTTTCTTGCTCTGAGCATTTCACTGGCAGAGTAAATGTATTGCTAAAAAATAGCTTTATAGTTAATGCATTTACATGCATGGACCAATCACACAGCTGGTGCCTCTGTGTGTTGCCTCCCACGCTGCCTGATCGCTGAAGTTTAACTCACGCCTCCTTTCACTCAAACTAATTCAACATCCTGTGAGGAATTATATTTCTTTGGAAAACTGTACAACAACATAAGAGCCTAAAACTCACCGTGTTAGCTTGGGTTGCGCAGCTCTATGTGACCCGCAGGAATAATGGCGCTTTCAGACCTAAGGGTTGAGCGTGCATTGAGAATGATTTGAACAAAAAATGATGTGAGCTCTTTACATCTTAACATGCTGCCCACTACCCGGCTCTTTCTTCCCTGTAAAGTTTGTGTCTGTGTTCCTGGTTGGCTGGAGCGTTAGTGGTTAATGAACCAACGCTAACCTCATCATACAGGTTCAGCCCAGTGAGGAGCTTTCACGCTCGCCTCGTAAAATAAAACGCATCACGCTGGTTTTATATTAATTTTAGTATTACTTTTCCGGTTACACAATGCACCAAACCAAACCAAATGCTTTGTCCACTTAGTCACACAGAACTAATGCCCACAGCCGCGCAGAGATCGGAAAATCTCGTCCCATAAACTCCAGCAACCAAAACTGTTTCTGTTATTAGACAGGAAAATTATATTTTATAATATTTAGTATATTACCAGACATGAAATGGAAGAGCTACTAAAGCCACATTAGCAGCATTAAATTAATTTTCCCATTTGTTGTGCATCTCTGCATCTCTTAGCGGCCCCATCATGCAGGGCCGGTCCAAGGTTGTATGAGGCTTCCAGCAGAATTTGACTTAGGGCTCCATCTTGCTGCTAAAACCATCAGCACCTCAAACAGCTTCTGTGTTGGATGTAGTGACATTTTAGAGAGTTCAAGTGAGCAACCTAAAAAGCAGCAAGTTATACTTTGCAGTTTTCTAATTTCTATTTGTGAACAAGCAGAGCTCAAACTCAAAGATTAAATCCACAGCATCAGATTGTTGCTATGGTAACAAAACAAACTATGAATATTGCACTTTGAACTTTTACAAAGTAAACCTGCTAGCTCCATAAAATCTTACATTTAAATGTTAAAGCCGGACTGCAAACATCTTTCTTGCAGACGTTTGCAGAAAGACGTTTTAATGAATGTATCCTGAAACCTTTTGCCCTGCGACTGACTGGTCTCCTGTCTGACTGCCTGTGTCCAGCAAAACGTTCACTGGAGACAAGACCGACGCCTCTCCTGACCCCACGAGGGACAGGATGTTAGGGGGAGGGAGACTGACTGGATGGATTTCAGTGTCTATGGGTTCCATAACATAATATTTTTACATTTTCTTTCTGCTTAACATCTTTTAATACAAAAACATGATGAACTGCCTCGGCGTCCACCGAGCTTAGCAAGTTTTCTGGGGGGAGTCCCTGCACATCATCATGTCAACCAAGCAGTTACAGTTTGGGCACCACTGGTCTTCCAAATGGACAGTGACTCTAATCATACTGCCACATTAGTTACAGTTGAAAGAGCACTGTGGACTCCATACCTGTCGTTTGGAGTTGCCATCGCAAAGTCCTGATCTCAGTCTAATGGAAAAGCCGACAAGATGTGTCTGAGTCAGAAAGCTTGATTTAGTTACACATTCAAGCAAACTATTGTGAAAAGCTTGTCCTACACAAGTCAAAAGTTTAAAAGGCAACTCTACCAAATACTAATGAAACTTCTGAATTTGAAGAAGGTAAACAAAAGCATTTTCTAAATTCTCTCTCTTTATTCTCTAATTTGACATATAAAAATCCATTTTGCACAAAATCACAACTCATTTAGACTATTATTGATCATCCAGTAACAAACAGATTTTATGCAAAAGGTTTGGCTTCCAACAAATATTAGAAATAATTTGAATCTGAATTCTTGAATTTTAGTATGAAAGTGAAGCAGAATGTTTTTTTCAAAGCAGAATTCTGCCTGTTGCCATGTTAATGACAAAAGTATTGTGCAATAAGGGTACATTGATCACAATTTTAATTTTAGCAACAAACACGTCATTGTCACTAAAAATGATAAAAACAATTCTTTCCCAATTACTTTCGCAATGCAGAAAATGTCGATGAAGAATCGACTGTAAGCTTGTGCCATTTATTAAAGTGTGGATTAGATCTGACAAGCAATGAGTTTTTAAGAGCACCTGGAACAAAAGCAGAATATTATCAACGATCGTTTGTTGAAGCTTTTATTTTGATACTTTGAAAATATGCCTGACAATAAGCATTTTGTTTTTGTCGTTTTTGGGTCACAACTTTTCACAGGTTTTAATGTTCATGTTTTGACTGATTCATCTTTACATCAATCAACTTATTCATAAAGAACCCCTTCAAAACAAAGCCATATCTAAATCAGATTCAGACACACGTCATAGATCTACCTCAGCTAGATTCCAGAGCATCAGACTCAGTTTAGCAACTGGTAAAAAAATGATCAGACAAGTTTGAGAGAATCAAGCTGCTGATTGTCTTTAGCAATCCTTCCTCAAAAATGGCATGGAGCAACACATTGTGATCTCTTGAAGATTCCTTTATTGCTCTCACATTAACTTCTTTGTTTAGCCATTCCATTCTTGAAGTTTGCTAACCTATTAATTCAAGGCAACATTTATCTATTAAAGAATCTGTTTCTTCATGTAAGCTGCAGAAATGTTTTCTTGATTTAAAGTGAGCCACAGCAGAACAGGTGTGTTATCCCTTTAAACTCTTTCTGGAGTTGGTGCTGGATATTAAGATCAGTTCACGCGCACACACACACACCCGCACACACACACACACACACACACACACACACACACACACACACACACGCAGCCATATAGAGGCAAATAATAACACTGTTCTACTGTTTCCAGTGGATCAGGGAGAGCTTACCGTTCTATTTTCCATCCAAAAATTGCCCTTTTCATTCCTTCCAACTCAATTTGATACTGAAAAACAATCAGTTCTGTATTCATGTATCTCCACTATCACATATCAGTTTATTTTTCGTCGATTGTTGTCAAATAAAAAACTTATTTCAATGATATATGCCATTATGCCATGCACCCCTGGACAGCAAACATCAGTCCCACAGCAGACATTGTGATTTGTGAACGAGTCCCTACCTTGGCACTGGAATCCCTGCTTCCCAAAGCCCCTGTGGACAGAGGACAGGGATGAGACATTTGAGGAATTCGCTGACAGAGATCGTGCATATAAAGATATCCAGCCGCAAACATTAATCAGCACACTGAGAAGCAGCAGCAACAGCGGCCGGCGGGGCCCCATGCAACCAGCAGCATTCCTCCACCAGTTTGTGTAGATGGAGGCGGAGGGGGGCTGCAGTAAAAGCGGAAAGCCGAGCAGCAATGCGTGCTGTGCGGCTGCAGGCAGCGCATCTCTGCCCCCATGGAGAAGGCAGGCAGACAGACAGGCCGCCCGCCCGCCCGCCCGCCCGGCCGGGCGGCCGGCGGTGCTGTCGCATTGCATGGCGCATCGCCGTGTTTCACGGTGACAGATAAGCACTGCGGCGTTGGTGAACAGAGAGGCCGGTCAGACGCAGCAGCAGCAAGCTGCAGCAGCCGCTGCAGCAGCAAGTGAATCACCTGTGTCCTGTCGGTTCGCAGCGCGCTCACTCACCAGATGAAGTCCGTGCAGTGGCTGCAGAAGGTCGGCTGCTTGAAGAAGCGCGCGATGAACTTGTGGTTCTTCACCTCGTGCACGTTCTTCTGGCGGAGGGCTCCCTGGCGGGCGAAGCCGCGCGCGCTCTCCGGCATCTCACCGTCGCTGTTGGGGTCAGCCATTTTAACGAGGAAGCGGTCCGAGAGGTACGAGGGGTGAGGAGAGAGACGACAGGGAGGGACGGAGGCGGCGGGGCAAAACGAGTCTGGGTGCAGGTACCTCCTCTTCTTCCTCCTCCTCCTCCTCCTCCTCGGTGTCTGTCTCTCGGTGTCTGTCTCTCGGTGTCTGTCTCTCGGTGTCTGTCTCTCGGTGTCTGTCTCTCGGTGTCTGTCTCTCGTGCTGCCGGTGGTTTTTACTGTCTGCGTCCACGTCGCGTCTGCTGCTGCTGCTTCCGGAGACTCTGCTTCCCTGCTGTCAAAGTGTCGCTGCTTGCAGCTCTGAATGCCGCGCTGGTCGCTCCAGCCGCTCCAGCCGCCACAGATTCACACACATGCGCGCAGAGCGACAGCAACACAAGTTGATCCTCCAGCTCCGCATATTTTCTCAGTCCAGAGTGGATTACAAACACACCCTCAGCAGAGACACGCTGAATTCACCTGCAGGGCCCACAGGCTACAACAGCCTGGGGACATTTTGTTCTCAAATATTTTTTCACAGCCAATAAATAATGTGACACTGACTGAAGCAGTGGCGGAGCTAGACTTTTTTTCAAGGGGTGGCCAAAGGGTGAGCAAGGCTTTATCAGAGGGTCCATATACAAATGATGAACAAAAGGAAACAAATATTTTCTCACACACTCAAATTAAAATGGTTTATTTAACTAAGATTTGCCATGACCAAACAAGACATTAAACGGCACTATGGAACAGTGAACATGGAAATGTAAACTCAGAGCCCAGAATATGACCAAAAACAAATTCTCAACAATAAATAAATAAATAAACTGGTGCTTCTGGTGTGCAATAGGTTGTGCTGGGTGGGGGCAGTTCAGTGCCATTTCCTTCTGCTTCACTGTCTTCCTCCCCAGAGTCTGACTCTGAATCTGTATCACCCTCATCTCTCTCTGGAACTTCATTGGAAATGCATAAACAGACACAATAAAAAAGCATCATGCTAACCTTTAGAATTAGGCTTATTGGATTTTAATACTTAATAACTCTCTGTCACAGCCTCTAACCCGCTGGTGATGTTTGGGCCTGGAGTCTCCTGGCTGGATTCTCCAGGTTGGTCACTGCTGCAGGGTTCTGTCTGGTCCTGGTCACTGCTGCAGGGTTCTGTCTGGTCCTGGTCACTGCTGCAGGGTTCTGTCTGGTCCTGGTCACTGCTGCAGGGTTCTGTCTGGTCCTGGTCACTGCTGCAGGGTTCTGTCTGGTCCTGGTCACTGCTGCAAGGTTCTGTCTGGTCCTGGTCACTGCTGCAGGGTTCTGTCTGGTCCTGGTCACTGCTGCAGGGTTCTGTCTGGTCCTGGTCACTGCTGCAGGGTTCTGTCTGGTCCTGGTCACTGCTGCAGGGTTCTGTCTGGTCCTGGTCACTGCTGCAAGGTTCTGTCTGGTCCTGGTCACTGCTGCAGGGTTCTGTCTGGTCCTGGTCACTGCTGCAGGGTTCTGTCTGGTCCTGGTCACTGCTGCAGGGTTCTGTCTGGTCCTGGTCACAAAACACAATCTATCAGCACTAGCATGGCTAATATAATAAACCAGGCACTACGCAGCGGTACACAATCTTTTTTTTTTTCTTTTTAGAAATGTATGACAAGAGCCGCCTCTCATTAGGAAGGTAACAGCGGTTACTGCTGAGCGTAAAATGTTGGAAATACCTGCAAAACTCCTGGATGCTGTAACTCTAAAGCTGCGGATGTGTTTTGGATCAAGCAGGACCGACATGTCAGTTTAACCAATGAACAGCATCGGGCATCGAGCTGCCTTCAGGGACAGTAGGAAATTACACTTTTCCTGGCAAATCTTTGCCGATCTCATAAGTATTATATTTTAAAATGACCATTTCCAGTGGGGTGGCAGTAAGGGTGGCCAGGGCTCTATTGGGGGTGGCAAGTGCCACCCCGGCCCCCCCTCTGGCTCCGCCACTGGACTGAAGTATGCAGATGCATCTCAGTAAATCAGAACGTCATTCACCACTGCATTCATCTGAGCAATCCCCAAAGTGAAATCCACAGATTGATGATACAGAAGGCATGTTTAAGGATCTGAGGCCTGCACAGGGAGCATGCTGGCTGATGGATGAACAATATCAAGCTCAAACACAAAGATTTCAAAGTTACACTGTGAAGATTTTCTTTTACAAACTAAGCCAATTACTTTCAGTGTTACATGTATTGATAATATTTTCATTCACAAAATAGAGATGTTAATATTTCAGAATTATGGTCAATGTTAAAACTCAAGCTCTTATGACCAGGAACTCTGGAAGCCTGGGGCCCCAAGCAGCTGTTTGGTCCACTTTGCCTGGGGTTTCTTTGGGTTTAGTGGATAGATGAAGTGCATCAGTTTTGTTACAGTTAACAAAAGCCTAATATTCAGACTCACAAAAAATTGCAGAAGGCCAATAGAAACATTTGAGTGGGTTGTTTTCTAACACACTTTTTCCTTTCACTCAACTTTCCAATTGCAAATATGAATACAGCATTCTGTGCAGAGCCTGTATTTAGCAATGTTATTTTATGAGTAATTGTACTTTCTTGCTGCATCGTTTGCATGCAGCTAATGGAAACCCAACATTTTGTTCTCTCCAAATTAAGAAGAGCATGTAGACCAAATTAAAAGATTTTAAGTACAAAAATGTTCTCTTATTGCTTTCCTAGGGGTTTTCATCTCCAGCCATTAAGGGCCAGATTCCTGCAACTTTTAGATGTGTTCCTGGTCCAACACACAAACGGCTGAGTTACCTCCTCAGCATGCAGTCAAGTTTGGTCAGTCCTGCTAATGACCTGATGATTTGACCAAGGTGTGTTGAAGTAGAGATGCTTTTCTAAACCACAAAGGTTCATAGCTACAGAACATTGTTTTTAGACTCCATCCATACAATGTCTTTCAATATCTGGAATTGGGTTGCAGGGGCAACAGGTCCTTGATGGAACCCCCGACATTCTTCTCCTCCTGGTCATTCTGAGGGATCCCAAGCGTCTCCAGGCATACATTGTCCTTCCAGCAAGTTCTGAGTCTCCCCTAGGGAGGCTCCCCCAGAGAAGCCCAAACAACCTCAACCTTCTCCTTTCGATGCATAGAAGCAGTGGCCTTTTTTGAGCTTCCCAAAGGATGATGGAACCCTTTACCCTATCTTTACAACTAAATCCAGTCACCCTGCGGAGGAAGCTCATTTCGGCCACTTGTATTTCTGTCATGATGCATGTCTCCTGGTCATAGGTGAGGATCAAAATGAAGACAAACAAGAAACCTAGATACCTCATCTCCTCTAAGACAGAAACTGACCTCTTGTTCATTGCAGGTAGCACACCTTTTTTTGGTCAAGAACTATGACCTCAGACTTAGACAAGCTGACTCTCATCCCAGCCGTTTTATGCATAGCAGCGGCGCACTACGGCACATACCGGATGCAACGGTCTGAGAAATCAATAGATCACACAGAATACATCACATCTCAAAAGGAAGGACACAAAAAGAGATTCTCAAAGCACACATCCTCCTCTCCTTTACTACACCTTGGGATCCTGTCCATGAACACCACAAACTGGAGCAATGACAAGTGGTAGGCCTGCTGACATTTGCCACATGTCTTCTCCCTCTATCACAACCTGTTTTCCTGACTGACAGCTGTTGAATAAAGGCCACTAGAGCTGACAAAACTTTTGAAAGAAAAACCCCCATTAAAAACCCACTTTATTTATCTAATAGTAAAATGTAATAGTTTCATAAATCAAATGAGCAGGAAAGATCTCTTGCAGGATCAGTTTGTGTGGTTAGAGATATGGTCCACTGTTCTGGTCCAACTAGTCCAGTGCTTCTCAAATAGTGGGGCGGGCCCCCTTTGGGGGGCGCGGTGTGATACCTGGGGGCGCGTGTGATCCTGGGGAACAGGCTTTTTTTTGGCCGTACTAGTATAAAGTGTAATTGCGCACAGTAGGCGGCAGTGGCGCTCTCATTGTTACTTCTGTCACGTTTGCGACAGTGCAACATTTTACGACTTACAAGACAACAGGTTTGCCTTGGTTAGCAGTGTTAAGTCAACAAAAAGCTCCGACTGCGTTCTGTCTATGGCCTCCGTTATTCAACAACCCCCAACATGAAAAAATTTTTCACAGGGATGAAAAGAAACGCGGAGAGAGACAAAGATAATGAGACAACAGAAAGTCAACCGAAAGCTAAGAAGAGGAAATACGACGAAGCGTATTTAGCGCTTGGCTTCACTGTGACTACAGTTGGAGAAGAGGAAAGACCGGTGTGTTTGCTGTGTCTAAAAATGCTCGCAGCGGACAGCATGAAGCCAAATAAATTAGCGCGTCACTTAAATACGTTACATCCCAATCACGCCGATAAGCCGCTAGAGTTTTTTCAGCGAAAACGTGCTGAATATTGCCAACAGTCATCCCGCTTTGTGAAGGCTACTTCAGTAAACCATCGAGCGCTGCTAGCATCATATAAGGTGGCGTACCAAATTGCGCAGTGCAAAAAGCCCCACACCATAGCAGAGGAGCTGATGCTGCCTGCAGCAGTAGACATGGATTTATTTATTTTTAATTTCAGGCATTGATGCACTTAAAATCTTTTCTGTTGCAGACTTAAAACACGATTTAATAAAGTTATTCTTTGTAAGTTTGACCATATGTCTTTCTTTTTTTCTTTAATGTTAATGAAAAAATGTTATGCAGAGATGGATAGTCACGGTGGGGAGTGGGGGGCGCGAATAGTTTTCTTCTTGCTAGGGGTGGCGTAACGGAAAATAATTGAGAAGCACTGACCTAGTCCAACACTCCAGAGTAAGCTTGCCAGGAATGATGAGACGTGGTATCACTTGTTATCTGGAACACTCACCAGTTCTCAATATTAAAAATGGGGACCACTATCCCAGTCTGTCTCTCCAACTGGTCCCTCATGAAACATTGAAGAAGCATCTGATGGTCTTTGCTTCCTCAACCTCAGCCACCCGATACATGTCAGCTACTTTAAGAGTCCCCAAGGACAACCAAGCCTGTTCCGCCTGACAGTTTCCATCACCTCTGGTGTAAACCAGCAGGTCCTCTGGTTGCCACTGCGATTGGTGCCGATAACAAGAGGAAGCTATTTACTTGGGCAGAGTAGAATAAATACTGGACTGTTGCTAAGTGGTCCAAAGTCTTCTTTTTATACTAAACTCTATTTTTCCTTTTGGAAATCAACATACCAGAGTCTGGAGAGGCACTGAATTCAAGCTGAGGTCCAGTGTGAAGCTTCCTCAGTCAGAGATGACTTGTGGTCATCACTGCTGGTGCTGGTCCACTGTGTTTTATCAAATCAAAGTCAGTTTTGTGGTCTACCAGAAAATGTTAGAGCACTTTGTACTCTCACATGAAGAGGACTGTGAAAAAGACATGTCCTTGGGAAAGTAGAGTGGACAAACATTTCTGAGCCAAGATTTAGAATGCTGACAGACTGCTGACAAGACAATGTTGAAATTGAATGAGAAGATGAGCATTAGACTGTGCATATTTATCCAGTTGCAGTTTTTTTTTATTCAGTAAAAAAGTAACATTCCTGTTCCACATGTGCTTGTTTTTTCAGAATTGTACAGAATCAATGTCTCATTAAAGGTATAAGAAAGGTCATTTGAACTGGGATGTGTAGACTTTTTATACCAGCTGTATTGCAAAGTGAACTGGAAACTATTATTAATTAGAGACACTACTTTAAAAGATAAGTCATTTCTGAAGCAAATGTTCATTTTCCTGTGATTCTTAAATCCTGGGAGTAAAGTAGCTGAAGTGATGTTCCAATTAAACATATCTGGCCTTTGAGTTAATTAGATACCACAGTCATTATATACAGTGTTTAGAATAATTTGTTTTTTATCCTTTTCTAAGGGGACTGAAAAGAAGTTTTCCCATAGCTATCTACAGTAATTTAAAATTGTTCATGTCTCTTCATCAGGAGATGTAGGACACTGTTCAGTGCTTAGAGTTACATAATAATTGTAGTCTTGACTGAGAAAGTTATCCTGTTTGTATTTCTAGTTTCATGAACATTAGTGGTGCCCTAAACAGCTATTTGTGTGAAAAGCCTCAAAAGAAAATCATCAGTTTTGTTCCACCACACAGTGGCACACATTTGTTTTATTTCATTTTATTTTATTTTTTTAGAAAAACCTCACTTTTAATTTGAGTTCATTTATTGTGTCAGGAATAAAACAGCATTTACTTATTCACTCTTATCCACGCCCGTCACAGTTTCTATCAACTAAATATAGGAGACCGTTTGTTATTCATGCTTTTCTTTCTCAAATTAAGTGGGATGTTTTAGAGCTGTCAAAGTAACTTAAAGCTGTCATATTGGCAAAGGAGGTTTCAGGTACATATATTTGTCACCAGTTATATAATAAAATTATATCCTAAGATATAAATATTTCCCCATCTGAATAAATGTGTTCAAATTAAAGGTTGGATTTTTCTTCCATTTGGTTCTGTGTGAGCTCATGCTCCTGCAGTAAAAGATAAAGTTATTTTAAGACTTTCTTTACATATTGAGTAAGGATACCAGTGCATGTGCTAGACAGTGTTTCACTGTCCAGTTTTATTTGACATTTTCATAAAAGTAATTTTTTTGATTCTATCACAAGATTCAATGATCTAATTTGAATATGGGTGATGGGATATCCCATTTCATTGCACTCAAAATTAGAAATTGAGCTGAGCCTTTAATCTCTCTTCAGCAGCCATGCTGCCTGCGTGTGGGAGGTTATGTGTGAATGAAGGAAACCGCTGCCTCTTGAGGATTTGAAGCTGTGATGTTACAGGTTGCATGTGAGAGCGGGGCTCTAAGCAGTGTTCCTCTGTCACCTGCCCACAGCTCAGAGCAGCAGGGTTCAGCTCCACTCAAGTGTCCAGTGAAGAGTCTATTTTAAATTTATATGAGATGTTATGTAAGTAATCAGGTGCAAAGTGTTTTACTTGGTGATCCAAACACAAACTAATTAATTCAGTGACTGTGTGCTTTTAAAAAGACAGACGTTATAGAAACTCTATACTATTAGAGGAAAACCAAATTCCCTTGAATTTGCACCATGTGTGACGCCTAATATTTAATTTGCATATTAAATCATCTCTAATTTATTTGCCTGTGCAATATTTTAAAGTGGTCTTGATCAAGTGTTAATCAGGTCTTTTTGCAAAGTTTTTTCAATTTCTTTGCACTTCAGGTGCATTTTTGAGGGAGATGTACAGTGGTCTGTATTGCACAGGCCAAAACTTTTATTGTGTGCTCTAATCTGAGTCTCTTCTTCTTCTTGTTTGATGTGTCTCTTACAGGATTTGTGGAAAACTGCACAGGGCATTTCAATAATAGCTGTCTTCCTGTATATGAAGGTCAAATTTACTTTGTGTAGATGTATCAAAAAATATTCCCAAAATACACCTCAATGTTTCAGTTGTAATTTAACAAACCACAAAAAGATTAAAAGAGAGTGAATACTTCTGAAAACCACAACATATGCAATAAAAGAGATGGTGGTGATAAACTATGTTAAAAATGAACAAAAATAACAAAAAATAATAGAATGACACTGTGATGAAACAGACCCACACCACGACTGTTAGGTTAATTGGTCTCTCTAAATTCTCCATAGGTGTGTGTGTGTGTGTGTGTGTGTGTGTGTGGGTGTGTGTGTGTGTGTGTGTGTGTGTGGGTGTGTGTGTGTGGGTGAGTGTGTGTGTGTGTGTGGTTGTTTTGTCTTGTCTGTCTCTGTGTTGCTCTGCAATGACCTGGTGACCTGTCCAGGGTTAACCCTCCTACTGCGTTCAGATAATTGATTCAAACTGCTGAACAGCTTGTGTTCAGCAGTACTAGACATACATTTCTCTTTGAAAACCATTGTTTCAAAATGATGGGGAAGTGTCATCAAATAGAAAGAGGATGTAAAATTGCTGAGCAAGAGTTTTCCAGACTATTGGTGGTTTCAGTTAATGGAGTTCTTCAATTCTCAGTTTTTTTTTCTTTCTCTTCTTCCAATCTTGACATTCTAATTGCAGAATTTTCCAGTTGTATTAAATGTTTTCGAAATGATTTCAGTTATGGTTTTTCCCTAAAACCTTTGCAGACACACACAAACGCGCGTGCACATGTACACGCACACAAGAAACAGATGCATACATTCTGAACTTTTTTCCCACGCTTTGAACCGTGCGGCTTGTAGCCCGGTGCGGCTTTTCTGTGGATTTTTCCTCAACCGCCAGGGGGCTCTTTAGCAGGAAGTAAAACATTGGAAGTCAAAATTGGAAATCAAAGAAGAAAGTGCTGCTTTTCATTTAGAACAGGGGTAGGCAACTCCAGGCCACAAGAGCCGGTCTCCTGCAACTTTTAGACGTCTCCCTGGTCCAACACAGCTGATTCAAATCACTGAATCAGCTCCTAAATGCAGTCAAGTTCTCCAGAGTTCTGCTAATGACCCCATTATTTGACTCAGGTGTGTTGAAGTAGAAACACATCTAAAAGTTGCAGGAGACCAGCCCTAGAGGCCTGGAGTTGCCTAAACCTGGTTTAGAACAAGCAAATAGCGGCAGGCTCCAATGAGAAATGTTCTCAGACTCATACCCTCTCCTCATGGAAACAACTTGAAGTTCATATAATGCAGCTTTTAAGCTGAGGGCTATCGATCAGGCAGTGAAGATCGATAGCTGCTGCACTAACGTGAACTAATCCATGGTTCGGCTTTGGAGACGCAGGGCTGCGTCCTTAATTGCAGATTTATTAAGTTAAATAGCAGCTCTGCAGCAGAGACGCTAGATGGCGTGTTTATAAACGTTTTCAGTTTTTTTTTTTTTTGTTGTTGTTTTGATTTGATTTTAACTTTGTATGTGCGGCTTTTATAATGAGGTTCATTTTGAAGTCCGGAAAATACGGTGGTAGAAAAAAAAAACTAAACTTAGAAAAAGACAAAACAGCCTGTTGCTGCCCTGAGAGGGCAACATGAGGCACGAGTTTAGATATGTTGGAATTTTGCGTCCTCTGGTGGTTACTTTTAAGAACAGCAGTCACTTCAGGTTTGTATAACTCCCTCAAAGACCCGCCTACCAGGTCGCAGCTTATTGGTCAGCTGTTCTTACAGAGGCATGGGATTGGTCCAGAGGTGATTTTCGTCAGCGAAGTCGGAAAACATTAAACATAAGGTTAAATGGTATTTAGTAGCTTAGAGTCTCCGGTAAGTATTGCTTTAAATGTTCACTTTATTTAATTGTCATTCAAAGAGCGTTTGTATAAAAGAGGAAACATGTTTAAGGAGCAGGCATTACATTTTTGTTTAAACTGTCTGCAGAAATGCCGATATCTCCTGTGAAAACCCGGATCCCCCTCACCAGCTTCGGTCATCTCATCACAGAGGTGAAGGTAAGATCCCACAAATATATCCTGTTTGTCTTATAATGATGGAAAACAGCAGGAGTCGGTGCTGCAAGTCCCTTCTCACACAGAAGGAGCAGGATGGTCAGTGTACCTGATCCGTAATCAGTCATAGGCTACAGCAAACTGGATCGCCAAGAAGAAAATAAGACAGCAGAGCCCTTCGGAGGACATGGGACGTGTTGAGCTATTTCTGAACCTGGACAGCGTCAGAAGCGTCCTGTCTGACTCGGGCCCGGTGGCTTTGGGGGTCATTGCCGTGCCCCTCCTGGACTGGAAGCTGATTGTTGTTTTTACCTGAGAAAGGCAACTCCTGTTAATCCTAACAGGAGTTGCCTGTAGGGGCTACAGTAGCGGCTTCCGTAGTCCCCACAGCTTAGTCCGTAAAAGGACCCTCATCTGTGCAGCGGTGTCCTCTGTCCCTGTTTTCAGCAGTTAAAACCGTTTCATCTCTTGTTAACCTGTTTTTCCGAGCTGTTTTTTAACGCAACATGAGCACTAAGACGCTCACGCTGTGTTTACACCTGGGCTACTGCTGGTCGGAGCTACTCAGGTGTGTCAGAATCATGGCAGGAAAACGTCAAGAACTTTGCGGAGCCCCCCAGACGTACCGACTGGGTTAGTAATGCTGTTGGATCAATCAATCAATCAAATGTATTTCAAAGTGCTTTACATCATAAACACAAGAACACAAAGTCATGCAGCATAGAATAAACAATACATTGTTACATATTACATTTCAAAAACAATTCTAAACAGGTGTGTTTTAATTGAGATTTAAAGGAAGTCAGGGTTTCTGCTGTTTCACAGTTTTCTGGAAGTTTGTTCAACATTTTTGGTGCATAGATGCTGAAAGCTGCTTCTCTTCTCTTGGTTCTGGTTCTTTGGATGCAGAGCAGAACCAGAACCAGAACCTGAGAGTCTGGAAGGCTCATACAACAACAGCAGATCTTTGATGTATTGTGGTGTTAAACCGTTCAGTGATTTATAAACTAACAACAGTATTTTAAAATCTATTCTTTGAGCTACAGGGAGCCAGTGGAGGGACTTTAAAACTGCTGTTATGTCTCTATCTTCCTGGTTTTAGTGAGAACAGGAGCAGCAGCTTCTGGATCAGCTGGAGGATTGATTTGTTGGACAGGCCTGTGAAGACGCTGTTACAATAATCAATGCTAATTAGTTAATTTTAGTTGTATATATTATTATTATTATTGTGTGTTTGTTTATTTAATATTGTATATTTTGACTTTTTGCACGGGAGTTGCAATAGAAATTTCGTTGAATCCTGTTCAATGACAATAAATGCTATTCTATTCTATTCTATTCTAAAGATAAACGCATGGATGAGTTTCTCTAGATCTGGCTGAGACATTAGTCCTCTAATCCTGGAGATGTTCTTCAGGTGATAGAAGGCCGATTTTGTTACTGTCTTTATGTGGCTCTGGAGGTTCAAGTCCGAGTCCATCACTACTCCCAGGTTTCGGGCCTTATCGCTAGTTTTTAGTTGTAATAACTGAAGCTGTGCATTGACTTTAGATCGTTCCTCTTTAGGTCCAAAAATAATGACTTCAGTTTCGTTTCTGTTTAGCTGGAGAAAGTTTTGACACATCCACACATTTATCTGTTCTAAACATTTATTCAGTGATTGGATGGGGTCAAAGGTCATCTGGTGACATTGTAATGTAGAGCTGTGTGTCATCCCCATAGTTATGGTTGTTAATATTATTTCCTGTTATGACCTGAGCTAGTGGGAGAATATTATCTAAAACATGACTAGCCGACTTCCGGTTATGGCGTCTCGCTGAAGGGTGTATGTGCGTATGGCTCGCTGCTAAATCCTCTAAATTAATCCGTAAGTCAGACCAATATTGGCAATTTCGCCTATTTTGCTAACGGGAAATCGCTTACTGGGGATCATGCCACCGAAAAATGCCAAACCGGTCCAACAACCGACTAAAACGGCTCCACAGGTGAATGTGGCTAACGTAGCTCATGCGGCTATTGTAGCTCATGCTAGCACGGCAGCACCCATTAACTTGGATGAGGCTCAAGATGCGCCGACTAACCGTGATATTCTCGGAGCAATCAGCTTGCTGAAGGAGGATATGAATAAACATTCTGCTGATATGCTGAAAGCAATTAAGGATATCAAAGGGGATATACAATCCCTCACTGAAAGAACCGGGGAAACAGAAGCGCGAATTTCACAAGCAGAGGACGACGTCATTTCCCTTCAAGGCAGAGTTAAATCACTGGAGAAAACAGTGGAGGTGCTTTCTGACAGAGTTGCGGAGCAAGAGGACAGGAGCAGGCGCTCCAACCTGAGACTGGTCGGGTTGCCTGAAAAATCCGAGGGATCGGATCTGTGTGGCTTCTTGGAGAAGTGGCTCCGAGAGACATTGGGTGAGGACTTCACCTCGTCCCGCTGCGTGGAGAGAGCCCACAGGATCGGTCCCCTTACTTCCAATCCTGCGGCTCCAAGGGTTGTTTTAATGAAGTTTCTGAGCTATCGGGACCGGGAAGCAGCTCTGAAAGCCGTCAGGAAAATGAAAGAGGTACACTATAAGAACCACCGCGTCACCTTCTTTCCTGACCTTTCGGCCGAGACTCGCAAGCTGCAAAGGCGCTTTGATGGAGTGAAAATCCGGCTCCGTGCCCTTAAAGTTCGGTATGGCATTCTGTATCCAGCCCACTTGATCATCACACACAATGACAAACGCCGGATCTTCAAATCCGTGGAAGAAGCCGAAAAGTATATTGATGGAATAAGCTTGCAGGCTGAGGTCAACTCCAAGACTTAGTATGTACTCGCTGTTCTTTTTCTGGCATGGTTCCTAAAAGTAACTCAGTATTCTCAGAACGTTTTGCTTCTGTGTGTGGAAAATGTGCACTGTTAATATTTCTTTATAACATCTTTGTAATGTTAGCAAATCTCGCCTTACTTATTGATATTTTGGTCAAAGCAATTTTTTGTTTATGCCAGCCAACCCATACATAACCATCGTTATGCGTGTAGACTTTTACGTTACCCACTTGGTGGCTGCAACGTTTCATATAACCCAAGTTCAATATTCAGAATGGGTTAACTCCACATTTCGTTTGGGGAAATATGTGGAGATTTGGGTTATAGGGCTCACTCTGGAAACTGTATTTTTGTGGACTTTACACTACTTGAATGAAAGAATAGGAAGGGGCCAATGTATTTTATTTGATTACATCTCCAATTACACAATTTATGTCTGTTTGTCCTATAATTAATATATCTAGTTGGAATGTTAGAGGTCTGAACAAAATGGTCAAGCTTAAACAAGTGATGGACAGGATCAAACAGTTGAAAACTACAATATGCTTCTTGCAAGAGACACATTTGATTGAAAAAGATGTGAATAAAATTAGAGCTAGGTGGCCTGGTCAGGTATTCTCCTCTAGTTTTACAACCCATGCCAGGGGAGTCATAATACTGATTCACAAATCAATTCCATTTGAACTAAAAAAAATACTTTGACCCATCAGGGAGATTTATCATTCTTAGTGGGACTATAATTTCTACAATGGTCAATTTTGTATGTCTATATGCTCCCAATGGTGATGATCCTGCCTTTTACCAAAATTTGTTTTTAACCATGTCAGCTTATAACGGGCCATTTATAATTGGTGGAGATTTCAATTGTGTTTTAAATCCTGCGATAGACCGCTCAAATAATTCTGTCATGTCCCACCAACAAGCCAGGAAAACCATCAAGAAATATATGAAAGATCTAAATTTAATTGAGGTTTGGAGACAACTTTTTCCAAATAAAACAGAGTACTCTTGCTTTTCAAGCACCTTTAAAACTTACTCGCGAATAGACTTTTTTCTGATCTCTGCCAGTCTATTATCTACAGTTCAAAAATGTTGGTATGAAGCTATTTTACTCTCTGATCACGCTCCAGTTATCCTATCAATAAATTTACCAAACTATTGTCGGTCTTCAATCCAATTTCGATTTCAAGCTAAATGGTTTAAGTCTGAAGGGTTCGAGGAATTTCTTAAAGGGAAAATAACTGAGTATTTCAATTTTAATACAAACCAAACCAGTGCATCAATAAAATGGGAAGCATTTAAAGCCTATATAAGGGGGGAAATATTGAGCTATACTAGGTACAAATCAAGACTCCATTTGAATAAACTAAAAAACATTGAAAATCAAATCAAAGAATTGCAGGAACAGATGTATTACTGCAATGACACTGACAAATATAGGAGACTTCTTTTATTAAAATCAGAATACAACGAGCTCACTACTAGCAAAATAGCAAGTAATCTATTATGGTTAAAACAATCATATTATGATCAGGGTGAGAAGGCAGGAAAACTCTTGGCTTGGAGGCTTAAAAAGTTACAGACAAATCGGGCCATAAATTTAATCAAATTAAATAATGGTGAGAATCTGGTGGATCCTATAAGTATAAATGATGCTTTTGCAAAATATTATCAAAATTTATATACATCACAATATCCAGACAACACAAACAAACAGAAGCATTTTCTGGACCAACTTCAGTTTCCAACCCTGTCAGAAGAGAGTAGAAAAAATTTGGATGAAAGGCTGAGTGTTGAAGAACTTAAAATGGCTTTAAGCCACATGAACTCTGGTAAAGCTCCTGGCCCCGATGGCCTTCCAATTGAACTTTATAAGAAATTTCCAGATAAACTACTGCCCCCTCTACTCGAAGCGTTCAATGAATCTTATGAAAAAGGCACCCTACCTCCATCATTACGTTTGGCAACTATTTCTCTTTTATTGAAGCCAGGCAAACCCCCAACAGAAATGGGCTCATATAGACCCATTTCTTTAATGTCCTGTGACACAAAAATTCTATGCAAAGCTTTGGCTCGAAGGATTGAAACGTATATCCCTAATTTAATCTCAAATGACCAAAACGGATTTGTTATTGGGCGCCAAGCCTTTCACAATACCCGCCGATTACTTAACATATTATATGCAAAACAGTTTGCTATGGATCATGCCTTTCTGTCATTAGATGCTGAAAAAGCTTTCGATAGGATTGAATGGAGTTACCTCTTTGATACCCTTAAGAGATTCGGCCTAGGAGGAAAATATTTAAAATGGATTCAGTTATTATACACTGAGCCAGTGGCTAAAGTTGCGACAAACGGTCAACTGTCAAGATGTATAAACCTCTGTAGATCGACACGACAGGGATGCCCACTGTCCCCCCTTCTTTTCTTGTTTGCCATTGAACCGCTTGCCATGGCAATACGTAAATCCCCTGAGATCACCGGCATTCAAATTGGGGATGTGGAGCACCGATTGTCTCTTTTTGCAGATGACATTGTTTTGTTTTTAGCTAATCTGGAAAAGTCTATTCAAGCTGTTGATAAAATCCTGAAGGAATTTGGAGAATTCTCAGGATATAAAGTCAACCAAAAGAAAAGCTCCTTGTTAATGCTGAACAGAAATAACCCTCCAATACAAACGCAATTCGCATGTACCGATGAGGGCTTTACTTACCTAGGAATTAAGATTGACCGAGATATAGAGAAAATGGTTTCTATAAATTATGACCCTTTAGTGCAGAAAATATTAGTTTCCCTAGAAAGATGGAGCGAGATGCCAATCTCAATGATAGGTCGTATTAACATTATTAAAATGTCCATTCTTCCAAAGTTCTTATACCTTTTTCAGTCCATTCCTTTACACATTCCAGCTTCCTTCTTTTCTTCTTTGGATAAAGCCTTTAACAAATTTATATGGAACAATAAACGCTCCAGATTGCGACTCTCTCTTCTTTATCTACCCTACGATAGAGGTGGGCTTAGAATGCCGAACATTAAATTGTATTATTATGCTGCGCAGCTTTGTGCTGCTTCCTGTTATTTTTCAACCGGTGACATTCCCTGTTGGGTACAAATAGAAAACAACTCGGTAACATTACCTTTGACATCCTATTTTTACTCAGCTGAACTTAAATATTTATTAAAAAACACCAAAAATCCTTTTCTCAAAAACACAATATCAGTTTGGCACTACTCCCATACAATTTTAGATGAGGTGTCCAAGATCTCATGTCTATCGCCTATTTGGGGAAACAATAGGTTCAAACCGGGAAGAGCAGACAGGGGGTTTAGAATATGGATGAATAAAGGCTTAAATAAAATAGGGGACCTTTATAGTGAAGGAGTTTTGTTGTCCTTTGAACAACTGGTAAATAAGTACAGCCTGCCCCAAAAGCATTTTTTTAAGTATTTACAGATTAGAAGTTTTATTTTTGCCTCTCTGAAATCTACGACTGAACCTCCACTCTCTACCATAGAGAATATAGCTGTTCACCATAATCAGAGTAGAGGCCTACTTTCCAAATTTTATAATATTTTACTTTTAGCTTCAAAAGAAAATAGTCTCTCATATTTACAAGCCTGGAAAACTGATCTGCAAACGGAAATTCCTGAGGATGAATGGAGTAACTCATGTTTAATGGCACAAACGCAAACTATTAACACAAGATTTAGACTATTGCAATACAAATGGTTATTTAGAACGTATATCACTCCTGTAAAACTTCATCATTTTAATTCAAATATTCCTGATATCTGTGTTAAATGTAATATAGATAAGGGTACTCTTTTCCATTGTATGTGGCAATGTGTAGAACTTCAAACTTTCTGGAAGGAGGTTATTATGTTCATCTCTCGTTTGATCGAACAGGACGTTCCAATGGACAGTAAACTTTGCTTACTGCATATTTTCCCAGATGGATTTAGAGGTCCTACAAAGAGACAGAAGCTTGTGACTTTTTGCCTCTTGCAGGCTAAACATTTAATTGCTCTGAAGTGGAGGAACACAGAAAGACCAAAGATAAATGAATGGATCAAACTATTGGGCAACAACCTGGCAATGGAAAAGCTGACATATTTAACAAAAGGGAAGCTTGAAGACTTTAAAGATATTTGGTTTCCTTTCTTACATCTTGTCAAATACTGTGATATGTAAAGCTAATTTTCTTTTCTTTTTTTTGTGTAGATGGAGTGAGCCCTGGGGTTCAGTGTTCTTTTTGGGTGGGGGGAGGGAATGCGCTGTATGTAATTTTTTTTTTTTTTTTTAGGTTCTGTTTGTTTTTGTATGTCTGTATAACAGAAAATCCTAATAAAACTATCTTGAAAAAAAAAAAAAAAACATGACTAGCCTAATAGGCTACCTCGAGTAATATTATTATTTCTACGTAGATAACCCCGCCCCTCTTAAACCCGTTTGGAGCCGAGGCGAGCGGAACACGGACTTAATATTCTATGTTAAGATTCTTAATTTTATCTTTTTATCTGATACTCATGAGCCTAAACTCATCTAATCAGTTAGCAGATTGCACGTGTATCAGTCCAACTGTTCTGTGAGGTCTTCATGACTGAAACAATTGAAGCTGAAAGTGGAAACAATATGCCAACGAGAAACTTGAACATGCCATCTGAACTGTGGAAAAATGGTGGCAGCATCATACTGTGAGAATGATTGTCAGAGTTAATGGACCTCACCAAGCTCCGCCCACAACCGACCTAGAAAATCTGACGTGGCCACAAGTCTCACAAACAAAGCCTCGGGCGCTTTGTTTCTGTGTAAACATGGGGTCTTCCACTTGGACAGATGGAGTATTTCTGAGTCCATTATTGGATCATTTTCACCAAATAGTAGCTACAACAATGGACAGAGGAACTAACAAGTTCATGGCATCTTTTTTGGATGACATCAAGATGTTTGAGCCACGATGCCTCCAACATTATGCATGGCAAAACACTTTCGGTCGATGAGGAAAACATAGCATCAATGTAGGGGACAAGATCTCTGATGCCTTTTGTTCTTTCAAGGCTGGGTAAGTCGGGCTTTATTGTTTTGTAGGTTACTTTTGACATCAGCGGGTTGATTCCTGTTGTTTGTTGGCAAATGTTTGAGTGTGCCACGGACTGATACACTGGACTTGGTCCTACAGTGGCTAACACAAGTAATGCCTTTTCTGCTAAAATAAATAAAATCTTTACTGTATGTCAGATACACATTGCACATTGATCTGTTTAGCTAATGTAAGATGGTGTAGCAGACAGGCTTCAAGGTGTAGAATTAGTATCAGTACTGCTGTTATGCTGTTCTAGCTAAAAGATGTTCGTGATTATTGATATTATTGATTTTCTTTCATTCAGACAGAAAGAAATCAAATCAATAATACTTACACCAGCACAGACTCCTTTGATCTTGTTGATCCTATGAAGGTTGAGCTGCTCATGTGGTTTTGCACAAGCTTTGATCCAAGCAAGTCATTCTGCTTCTGATTTGGAAATCTGTGAATTTTAGAACCACAAATACGATCAGGATACCTGACAGCACCAGTACAGATTCCCCACTGGAGAACCATTCTGTTTCCATTGTCGATGCGAAAACTTTCTGCCGCTTTCAAACGCTTGCATGATCATCCCTCAGGATAGTATTTAGGCCAACATTTTAATCAGGCAGATTAAAAGAACACCCAACCCTGAGTGAGCGAATGATAATGCAAAATAACTTCATATAAAGGAGATGAATGACTTTCAGTAGTGTGATGCTCTTCATCTCCAAGTGCTTGTAGTTCAAAGTTAGGTGTGAGCATGCATGTTTAAAGCGATTATGCATCTGGTCTACGAGTGACATGGCGCAGTGAGGGCAATCCCATGATGCAACAGCCCCTTATCAGGGCCCCAGTGTTTTAGGCCGGAGGGTTTCCGTTCACACCAGATTGTGTTTGCTGAAGCTCCTGTTGCATGCAGAGCTCTGCCTATTTTAACACATAAAATCCAGAAAACATGAACTTGTGGTGGCAGCATGATGCTGTGGGAAAGGATTTTTTTGAGCAGCAACAGAGGGAAGCTGGTAGAGCTGAGTCAGAGGGGCTGAATAAATGTAAGCCACACTTTTCAGATTTTTATTTGTAAATTAAATTTAAAGGTGAATAGACAGCATAGACTTTAAGAATGCAATATTCAAAATGTAGTAATTTTCAGGATTTTTGCATAAATACATTAGAAAATTGGAGAGAAAAACTTTTGACTAAAGTATTGGAACACATAAGTTGGGCCTCAGACACAGTTGTCAGAACAACACGTGAAACCTTATTGGTCATTCCTGACCATCACACAGACATTGATTTACTCTCTGACCGTCTGTCCTGTTATCTCAGAGCTTTCATCAGCTCAGAAACAGAACAGCTAATGAACAGCTAATGAACAGCTAATGAACAGCTAATGAACAGCTAATGAACACGCTCAAGCCTCTCTTCTTGGACATGTCTGCTTTAGTGACAGAGGGAGGAGAACCAACCAGAACCTCTTCTTCATATTCACATCCAGCGTCAACACTGACGACTTCTTCCATCTGTTGCTTTCACATTCAGTTTGACGGTGTAACTGCTTTGCTTGACGGTAATCATGTTTCATTCTGTTCAGGAAATGATCATGTTACCCTACTTCTTTAATTGGTGTGGTTTACAGGTTTTTTCTTTTCATGCTTTTAACTTGTGATTGATATCTGTTGTTATTCTGAGAGGAGAAATCCTTTATGTGTTTCAGAAGCAGCTGTTTGGCATCGAAGGACCCTCATCTGTGCAGCTGACCGGTTGGAGGAAATACTTCAATTGCTACACACTGCAGGGCCGCAGAAATGTACATAATGCACTTCAACACAGCACATATTTAAAACATGTTTCCAGTTCTGTATAGCAATTTATGAAAAAGAATTGTTATTTTGTACACTAAAGCCATTAACTTCAGCTTATTTAGTTGGGATTGGATGTGAAAGGGCATCACAAATATAAATATATATATATATATATATATATATATATATATATATATATATATATATAATTATGTACTGTGTTGTGCTGGTCAATAACAAAATAGCCATTGGTCCAAAGGGTATTAGTTGTTCTGCATGTTACTGTGTATGAATCAAGGAATTGTCCTTCTGTGTTGCAGTGTGTCTTGGCTACTTATGGAGTCCTGGTGGTCACAGCTGCAGTTTACCTGATGCACAAACAAAACAAAGATGGAAGGGAGAAGTCTGCTTCCACGGACTGAAACTCTGATTCCCTTTTTCTTGTTATGTGAAGGAAATAAGATTGTGGAGTGATTTATCATGTCAATAAAGGCTGCACTCATGCTTCTCTGATGATTGCATTTTTGAATTCAGGTTGAGCAGATCAAGATTTTAGTGTTTGCTTTTGTGCTAAATTTTGTGGATTGTGATTTCTACCAATTTAGTTTTCTTCTATGGATAGTTAGAATATATTTAAGTTAGTTGGAGCCGAAATTTGTAATGAATTTTTATATTTGGAATTGTTTAGATTACATTGTTAAGTGTTAGACCCTCCCATTAATTTGAGTAATTAAGAACTCACCAGGTGTTGAAGGGACACCAGACCAAGTCTTGTAAATTATTTTTTCACCACTTTTTAGAGTTTCAAATATCAAATTGAGATTTTGTTTTGTTTTGTTTTCGACTAAGTTACAAGACATCTTAGTAATTATTTTGTCTCTACTTTTGTCTGTAAGTGTGTGCAAATCAAACCACCTGTTAACATTCACACCCTTTAGTTGGAAATTGTGGCTTTTGGGAGGTAGAAGCCGCGACAGGTTTCCTGGTCATTTTCTCACAAAACGCTCATCTCCTGTGACTGTGGTTGTTTTCTCATGCCAATCACCAACCCTCCCTCTGAAATGTTTTTGGCACATTGTTGCATAAGACTGATGTTGAGCAAAAAGGAAAGTGATAGTAAGTTTGCTTTTTATTGAAGGTCATTTCATTCATAGTTTGCAGATTTGCAAGAACTAATTATTCCCTAAGTTTTATGCATCGTTATGTGTGTGTTGACCTTTTTTATTATGAACAGCGTGCAACACTTTGGACAAGTGGATACACTGACATGATGTGCAAGAAGTAAGAACCCTCAGCGGCCTCAGAGTTCTTCTCAGGAACTCGGATACAAACTCATTTTAAAAAAAAGAAGTCAGAACAGAAAGCTGTGGTTGGCAGCCACATATTTCAAACCACAGCCTTTAGAGTTTATTTCACTTTTTAACAAATATTTTGGCCTTTTTTACCTTCCATTGAGCCAAATGTTTATGCTAGAACTGAGAAAATTGGAACAGAAAAGGAATTGTAAAAAACTCAATTCATTTTTGAGAATTTCCTGCAGTCAAGTTCCCATTAGAATGGCTTTGACTCACCAAGTCACACTTTAAAAGCTTAGATTGGGTTCATTTTAGTTGATTTGATTTTATGTTTGAAAAGTTCACTTTTTAGTGAACATGTTGGTTCTAACATGTTGGAACCAAGAGAAGAACCCATTGCTCTCAGTTGGTTCTGGGTAAAGGCTTGAGCTTTTATAATGCCAGTTTTTATTCATCTTTTTTAATCTTGGTCCCAAAAAGAAAATGTATCAATTTGAATGTTGTCTTTGCATTATAGATGTATAGTTTGCTTAGCACCGCTGCATCTCTAAGCGATAGAATCACAAATATGAATGCTGGAAGATCACGTGATTTAGGAGAATCAGCCGCCGAGAAAGAGAAAGTGAAACTGCTGCTGGTCCAACACCTGATCTGCAGGCTGCATGACTCCGCCTTCAGGAATATAGCAACCGAAGCTCGAGGTTTCTGTTCAAACCTCTTCAACCTCCAGCAAGCAGCCGCCCAGAGACTCTGCTGTCAGTGAGTACATCCCAAACTCTTTCTTTTCCATTTCGATCAACATGCTGTTAAAATGCATTTGCGGAGTGACGTGTCATTAGCGGTATCTGAGGGCATCTGAGGTTAGAGCAGCACTGACACATGAACTGGATTTCACATTTGAATGGGAAGTTACAGAAAGTACTTTTGAAGTTCGCAGCTCCAGCACTTGAACGCCTCATGAACTTGTTTGACATCATGAAAATATCCAACCTCCCCTTCAGAAAGCAGGGTTTCATAGTTGTTGGGTTTTTGTTTGTTTGGTTTTTTAAGAAGACAGAATCATTCAAACTGATCCAGAAACCTAACAGAGAAATCTTTATTTAAAAACTAAAAGCTTCAGTAACAAGTTGTGTGACACAAAAAGGTCTTGGAATGAAAGAGTTACTGAGAAGGATATGAAAGCCTGATTAAAATCTGCAGCTTTGAGATTTTACTGGATGCAAATAAAAGTGAAACCAAACTGCAGTTTGTTAGTTAGAGAAGTTGTAAAGCGTCAGATTTCTAGTGGAAAGCTCGGATGGCTTTCTGCTGGACTCTAACTGTCCTTTCAGATCAGAGTTCAGAACAGGACAGTAACTCTGAGCGGCGGAACCATACTATACAAACTGGAAATTGAATTTTTCATCCATTGGATCAAAGCTCATTTTGGTGTGTAATGCACTAACCAAACAGGTACCATGAACTTTTTCCAAAGATGAATAAAAGTTAATATCATATTCATAAAAGGAAATGTTTCGATTTCAGCTAGCTTCAAAGCTACAGCTTCTGTCGAAGAACCTCCAGCATCTTAGTTCCTTCTGTGATGACCTTAGAAAAGAATCCTGGAAGATCAGAACTGAGAGAAATTCATAAATCCATGCATCTCTGAAAATTTACTGCTATTATTTTTCACAAAAATGTTATTTATCAGGATTTTTTATGACTTGGAGAGAAAAGCACGTCTTTATCTCGGTTGTTGCGGCACACATTAGTCCATTTGAGAATCCCTGTCACATGTTCAGCTTATTCAGGACGCAGCAGCTGGAGCTGCAGACAGGACCTGACCTTTCCTACCCTCAGTTTGTCGACTTCCTGCGCATCATAGAATTCATTATAAAATCCTTATGTTGGCTTATGAATGCATAAAAAGTCTGAAAAATGTTCAACTTTCTGAAGATGATAGTTTGATAGTTTTAGAAGAATCTCATCATACAAATTTAAGCACTTTGCTAAATTTTTCCCAATACTTAAAATATCCAACAAGTTTCCACTCAGTTATAGTGCTTTTGTTGTGGGGGTTTGTTTTTTTTCAATCATTTTTGGGGGGTTTAAAATTTTGGGCAAAATAAAGTTTTTTTCAAAAGAAACTGCATAACTGCAGATACATTTGGTATTATATTTTGATATTCCAGATTATTACCATTTATCCATCAAAGCATGCACTTCTAAGCTTCATATGACTTTTGTTCAACTCATGCGGTTGACGTGTTTGTGGTACAAAACATGCTTGGAGTTTTTAGTTTTTAGGTCTTTATCTAAAAGTGAGATGAGAAAGAAAAGTACATTTTCAGATTTTGAGCCAATCAAGGAATAATTTGACAAATCTGATCTTTTGTAGACTGACTGGTGCATCTGTCACCTCTGCTTATTTTAGCTCAGGCACTATAACATCTAAAGTAAAATAAAAGTTATTGTCTTCTGCCAATTTTAGATAGCCTTTCAATATTTTTTGCCATTCAATACACAGCTGAAGATGTCTAAACTGCAATGCTTGAAGCAATTTATTTGCCTTTTTTCAGTGTTCTATAAATTGCTGTAAGATTAGACCTTTACTGCAACTCATGTCCTCTCAAATGAAATGAGCAATGTTGTTGAACATCATCATTCACATGGCAGAGTGATGAAATTAACCGCTCAAAGTTTAGAATTGTTGAGAAACTAAAACCCAATGAGCGCCAGGCGGCATGACAAACAGGAACGACTGGAAGCAGTGATTTGTTCCTATCAGTTTTCAGCAGACAAAGTTATTTTTATAGTAACATCTGAGATTTTCTGTTTACGTTCCTTTGTTGCAGATCACCTATGTTTCACTGGAAGATCACAGAATACATCCAGGCTCTGCCCTTCTCTCAGAACTTTGTGTTAGAGCCCGGTTCACACTGAAGCTTCATGGAGCTTCAGAGAGGACCAGGCTGCCGATGAGCGAGTGGGAAAGAGCCGATGATGGAGAGCCTGCTTGTGAAAACTGACGAAACCGGTGCAGTGGGCGGTCAGGAATAGGATTTTCCATTCTAGGATGGTCAGAGACAGTCTGCAAAGAACGTCTGATCAGAACCAAAAACGGGAGCCAGCAGCTGAGCCACAGAATCCGAGACAGAACCCAGAGGAGTCACATCGACCCGAACAAACAGCGGAAAAAATTAACGCAGAAAGGGAAGACCCTGCAGGATCAAAACTCGACTTTCTGCTCTGGTGCAAGCTCAAATTGGAGGAGGAGCCCGAGTCCTGGAGGCTGGTCAGTGTGCAGTTTGATTTGTGCTTTCATTACTGCTGAGAGTTTAGACCAACAATAGAAACGGAACGAGTGAAATCAAGAGAAAGAAACATTTCACTTAGCAGGTTGTTATTTATTTATGCTGTATAACAAAAGGATATTACTATACATACATAGTAATGATCAATTCTGTATTCTTATTGAAGATATAGTTCAGTGTTTCAGCTGCTAAAAATACTTTGTTTAATGTCCCACATGGTCTCTGGAAGTACGAAGCGTTTGAGTCTTCCCAGGTCTGGATGAGAAGATAAAAACAAGTTAGGAAAAAATTCACATTTCCAGCCCTTAATATGTATTAATTTAATTCAATGCAATAAAAAAACACTTTCTTAATCCCATAATGAAATAACCTTTTCCAAAAAGCAAAACATTGGACTCTTTGGAGAAGCAGCCGCCCAGACTTCCTCCTGACTCTCCATGCCAATTTCCTGCCTAGTTCCTGGAAATGATTGTCTGTACAAAAATATTTAGTGAAATAGTAACAGGAATAATTTAACAGTATTGGTTTTTTGTTGTTGTTGCAGTTCCTGAAATGTTGAACACATTTTTTTGTAGGAGGGTCTTTATTCGAAAGCTTGCAACATTCATCAGAGTGAACTTCAAACCTGATCGCAAAACTTTTATCTGCAAGCCTTTTAGCCCCATTTAGAAAATACTGTATTGTTTTCTGGTTGTCAGCTACAGAGAGGCTCTCAAAACAAACTATGAATAGAAAACCGAAAGTTTCACAGAATTCAAGAACTGAATTCTTCAATTCAAACCAAGAATTCAAGAATACTTTCACATCATGCCAGGAACGATGGGAAAGTAGAAATCAAAGTTTCTGTTAATGTTTAAAAGGCGTGTCTGAGATTTCAGTTTGGCAGATCAGCATTCCTCATGGCTACTGTTAATGTTCTTAGAAAGAGAAAGTGTGTCTGCAGAAGAAGCTGAATGGAACAAAACTATAGTAATAGGGTAAAGATTATTTCATTCCAAATGTCAGAACAATAACCAAGACTTTGAGAAATCACAGCAACAAACAGAAATACTTTAAATGAAAAATAATTCATTGCTGGAGAGCACAGACTTTTTTTTTTACTTGTTTTGCATTTTGCAAATATATATGACAATAAAACAACTCATCCATGTTTTCACTGACTGAAAATCTAAAAATACCTACAAATATTTCTTGAGTTTCACATAGAATAATGTAAGAACTTGTATTTCTCTTTTAGATTTCTCATTTTCTGCACCTAAATGCTTCAGATAATCAAATAATGACAATGTCAACAAAGACAAACCACAGTTTTTAAACAATGATTTTATGTATTGTTGAAGAAAAGCTGCATAGTCCTATGTCAAAAAGTGACTGCTAAACGATTTACAGCTTCACCAGCAACACCCAAACACAAAGTATTCCATGGTATCTCCCTGGCAACATGAAATAGACTAAAAGGTCTAAAATGAAAACATTATGAGCCAATCTGAAGAATTCAAGAACATCTCAAAAACAAAATATCAGTCTGGAAAGGATTGCCAAGCCTTTTCTAAAGCTTTGAGACATCACGGTGAGAGTTGTTCTTCATTGGTGGATAATGGCCGACCAAAATTACTCCACGAGGAAATCTTGGAATCAATTGAACACATTCTCCAAGTCCACAAAACACATGTAAACCAGTAGGGCGAACTCCCATGCACCCTCCAGGACCCTGCTGAAGGTATAGAGCTGGCCCAGTGTTCCATGACCAGGACGAAAGCCATACTGAACCTCTGAATCTGAGGTTCGACTATCCGACTCCAGGACCCCCGAATAGACCTTGGTAGGGAGGCTTAAGAGTGTGAACCCCCCCTATAATAAGAGCACACCCTTCAGTACCCCTTTTTGAACAGGGGCACCGCCACCCCAGTCTGCCAATCCAGGGGAACTGCCCCCAATGTCCATACAAGATTGCAGAGTTGCGTCACCCAACGGAACCTTACAACATCCAGAGCCGGAACTCCGGCCAAATCTCATGCACCCCCGGGGCCCTGCCACCAAGAAGCTTCCTAACCACCTCGGCGACCTCGTCCCTACAGATGGGAGAGCCCTTCCCAGAGTCCCCAGTCTCCACTTCCTCAATGGAAGGCATGTTGGTGGGATTGAAGAGGTCTTCGAAGTATTCTGCCCACCGACCCACAACGTCCCGAGTCCAGGTCAGCAGCTCACCATCTCCACTGTAAACAGTGTTGGTGCTGCACTGTTTCCCCCCACCTGAGACACCGGATGGTGGACCAGAATCGCCTCGACGCTGTCTTTCTCCATGGCCTCTCCAGATTCCTCCCACACCTGAGTTTTTGCCTCAGCAACCACCCGAGCCGCAAGCCATTTGGACTGCCGGTACCCACCAGCTGCTTCCCACAGGCCAAAAAGGCCCAATAGGATTCCTCCTTCAGTGTGACGGCATCCCTCACCAAAGCTGTCCACCAATGGGTGCCAGGGTTGCCTCTGCGACAGGCATCTCTCTAAAACCGAGTGTCCAAGATGTGGCCGCAGCGCCGACGAAACATAAATAATATAGATTTAATATCAGTTATTGGCCATAACAGCATAACATCAGCACAAATTTTCAAATCTGTGCATCACTAGTTTTTGTACTAAATTATTTAAAAGCTGTATTTTGTATTTACTCAAGTTACATTTGTCCGTTGTAAAAACGAAAAAATTATGTATGTGGCAAAAACAGAATAAATCTAAAGGAGCGTTTCTCGTGGCTCATGATTTTATTCTCTTTCAGTTGCCCTGAACAGAATTGTCAGCATATGAATAAAGTTGTAAAAATAGCTTGGAATATTAAAAAGTCCAAAGTGTGATTATGTAAACATTTTCTCCTGGCTTTTTTTAGTAAAGAGCATGTAACTCTGTGTTGATAAAACTGTGTTTTAATGTTTTGTCTTTGATGTGTGGCTGCTGAGTTTGGACAAAGTCATATGTGGTTTTTAAAGTTGGAAAAAACTGGATTATCAAAAATGACTTATTATTTCATTTGTAACAAGACATTGTCCCCATGTTACAAATTAACATCCGTCACCTTAACATTAAATATCTGCCTATGGAAGAAGTACATTTTCATCAATATTAAGAAATTATTTCCTCAAAACAAACCCTATATCCTGCTGAAAAGTTACTTTCAATGTATTATGTCTTATTCCATGTGTACTAAGATATTTGCACTAGAAAGTAGACCAAAAGACTTGGTATAACAACTCGCTAGAACACAGTCACAATTCATTGAACTGTTTGTTTTGATCTGCCGTAGCCAAAGACAGGAGCTGATGCTGACGGCTTGCCCACACACATCCGTCCGTTCACCAGCTTTGCAGAGTATCGTCTGGTCAAACTCACCTACCTACAGCTGCAGGAAAGTGATTTCTACTGGGGGCCCATGACCATGGAGGAAGCTCATCAAAGACTCAGTCACGCAGCTCTGGGAACTTTCCTCCTCAGGTAGCATCACAGCTTCATTTCATTCTTATTCCTGGTTTTACTGCTTTTATTCAGATGAGTCGGGGGGACAGCATGAGCTGAGGAGGACTTCAAAAGTTTAACTATTTAAAAACACTTTTCATTTGTTGGCTGATTTTTTTTTTTTAGGTTTTTTTTTAGGGTTTTTTTTTTTTTTTTTTTTTTTTTGTAGGCAATTCAAAGATTCCTGAGCAGGTAAATATGTTTCAGTGACATTTGATCTGAGCTTCATGCCACATATTGACCAAAAAAAGCTGTAAATAATTATTGTTCATAAATATAATTATGCACTCGAGAAGCTAACCCAGCCTATGATAGAAAGTGCGCTTTTTGTGGTTTCTGATTTTGCACAGATCATTTTGCATCGTGGTCTTTACTTCCAGTTTGTAACATATTTCTAGTGAAAAGTTTTCTCTAGGACTGACTGCATCATGTTACAATGCCAGGGTTTCCCCCGGTGTACGCTGGGGTCAGCGTTGCTTGTTTTTGTATTTCTAAAAAAGAAAAGGGAAAAAAAATCACAACTTTATTTATTTCTTTATTTATTTTAAATAAGCCAGACTGCAAACATCTCTGCTGTGCTGGACATATCACGAGCAGGGCAGAATCGTTCCTGAAAAATGGATTTATAGTTGGTGAATTGAACAGAGAATGAAGCCTCTTGGCTTCATGGCCATATATCTTTTCATACCAATCAATCACCCTCTGCCTCGCGCTGCGTGCCTGGATCTCTGAAGTTTACCTTGGCATGGAGCCCAGGCCTCCTTTCACTTAAACTGGACACAGGTCCATCTGTGTGGATATTCATTTCAACCCCTCAGGTTAAGAAGTCATCTTTCTCCAAAGACTTCATCAAGATACGAGTCAAGTTTAAAAGCCACTGCATTTGCTCTACTTAGTTCAATGTGAAGCTCATAAATAAACTATAGTTGCGCGTTTAGAGGTGCATGTTGAAAGTGCACTGAGGCCCCTTTTCCATCAGCGTTTTTTGTGGCTGGCCCTGCTTTTTAGGGCCCTGCTTTTTAGGGCCCTGCTTTTTAGGGCCCTGCTTTGGAGGAGAGCCAGCCGGGCCTGGTTTGGTGGGTGACGCGAGCTTCGCTCCTGTTCGCTGACTGGCCGAGGGCGTGGTCAGACGGAGCAGCAAACAGAGGAGAAAAAACATTTCAACTCGCTGCAAGACGAAAATGATGGACGATACGAACAAGTGGTGAACAAAATGCCAACTTTTCTTTGCTGCGGATTTCAATATTCAATGGCAGCTGAATATTGATGGATCTGTGAGGAATGAGTTGCTTTTGTCAACGTAGCGGAGAGAATGGAAAGCCTCGTTAGCTGCTTGGAGACCGCAGTGACACTGACTGCTGCAGCTGCCGTCCCGCTGCAGCTGCCGTCCTGCTGCAGCTGCAGCCCACCAGGTGAGCAGTTTGGAGATTTATCTGTCTCCTTTTTACTATATTTAAGGTTGCATACATACAGTTTTGAAAGACTTTGAAATGCAAAGTCTGCTGTATTTTTATTGCTCAGACACAACATGCGCATTTTCTGAAGATACTCAGTTTCACATTCCTCAGTTAAAAATCACGTCCATATTGTGCAGCATGTTGCCTTCATGTGGTTTGATGTTTTATCTTGAATCTAAATGCTTCCATTGTTTCTCATCTTGCTGTTGCATCAGAGTTTCTCCCATTGTGAGATAATAAAACATGTTATATGATATTCTATTATTGTGAAATGGCTACATATCAGTTCTCTAAACGATTCTGAACTATTAATTGTTGAGGACATAAAACCAATAAACCTGAAGAAAACAATAGTGGTATGTATGTCTGCATTGGTCTAAAACTAACAACATAATTAAGTTTTGTCTGTAATTTACATAACTATTCCAGTTATTCATAATTCTCCATGTCTGGATGGTAAAAATTGTTTGCATATATAAAGCAACATGTCAGTTTGAAAGAATTCCTTCTGTGTAACTTCCACATCAGTAACTCTGTCATCTCTCTACGTTTATGTGCCTCAAGCTGTAACATCTGGTTTGTTCTCCAGAAGAAGAGGAACATGGCCGACATGATGGAGAACCACCAGGAGAACCCACAGAACAACAACTGGATCTCCTTCAGCAGCGACCAGCTGATGGCAGAGCTGCATGGAGTCCAGGCAGACCAGAAAATAAAAGTCAACAAAGTCTCTTTTTTATATTCTCTCCACACATTATTGGACAAACTGCAGTTTGTTTGGCATCAAGGTCCTAATACAATCCTCCCAAAATGGGAGGAGCTTTCGACCGAGAGAAAATAACATGATATTATATGTTATTGACATGTGTCAATAATTACATGTCAATATGTTGACACATTATTAATACATTATTCATGTATTAATACCTGAATAATGTATCCAAACATTTTGACATTATTATCAGGGTTGCTATTAAAAAGAACCCAAAATACAAGACATGTTTGTTAGTTTCTGCTGTGAACATTATTCCATCCACTCACTGTTTAGTTGTCTTCCTGGAGAATCTTCAATCTAAGAAAGTTAAAAAATGTGTCCATACCTGTCACCTTAATGAGTGACAAGTTTTTATAGTAGTTTAATACAAAAATCATCATTAGCTTCCCCTGCATCATCTGAGCCACCTGCTTTCCTCCCCTGCAAGCTGGAAATCAGGTCTCCTGCTCGCTGCGTCGCAGCTGTTCTTGAAGACTTAGAAAAATCACAATCGGTCTCTAAAAAATAGCTCAGCTCGTTGCTCTGCGTTAGGTCGCTTAGCAATGAAGCACAGCACGTGGCTCCTGCAGGCGGGGCGCGATACCCCCCACTGTCAGGAGGCGGCACCCTGCAACAGAGCCCAGTGGAGTTGTGGTTCAGCCCATGGAGGACTGTCGCTCTCGCCCCACAGTCACTAGTTTATGTAGCGGTTATTAAAAACTCAATACACACTAAATGTAAATCCACATAAATTAAATGTCCCGTTTGTCCCTCTGTGTCCAGCAGAGAGACACAGTGCAGTGGATTTAAGTCCTCATGCAGGGCCGGTCCAACGCTGCTGAAGCCTTGAGCAGAATAGATTTAGGGGAACCTACAATCCTCCGATGGCAAGACGACTAATCTACCATTCAGCCACAGTCGCCCAGTGCAAATAATTGATATTTATTTAATTGTATTTTTTTATTTGTGGTTTTTAATGTTCTATAGTTGTGGGTTTAAATTGTTGGCAATGACTTCCAGTAACATAATTACCCAGTAATATTTTACATTTTCTGTCAACTTAACATCTTTTAACACAAAACCATGGTGAAGGAGCGCCTTCACCTTTGACCACGGGGATATCTAGAACTTCATTGCTACAACTATATTTGACAAAAGTTTCTCTTTTAATTAATTTTAACAAATAAAATATTAAATCAATTAGATTATTGTCATCATAAAGTAGCTCTTTAAACTACTTTTTATTTTTATCCATGCACATTGAAACATTGACATTATCACTGAAGAGACTGAACTGAATTGAAAGTGCAGTAGAAAATTTGACTACTGTTGTCTGTCTGTTAAAATATTTATCAGTTTAACCACACCAGTGCTGACTTTGTAAGCTTGAAATGTAAAACTGCACATCTTCATAAACGTCTAAGGAAATGTTTTATTGTCTAAAACCAAACATCTCACTTTTCCAGGTTTTCATATTCAGGGTATTTTAAAATATGCTTAGAAATATGAACTATGGGGCATGCTGTGGTGGCGCAGGGGTTAGCACGCCCCACGTTTGGAGGCCTCAGTCCTTGACACAGACGTCGCGGGTTCGAGTCCCAGTCCCGGCGACCTTTGCCGCATGTCTTCCCCATCTCCTCGCCCTCCTTCCTGTCTGCCTACTGTCAAGAATACGAGCCACTAGCGCCGCCAAAACTCTTTGGAGAAAAAAAAAATGTAACTACAAACTGGTTGTGCTTCAGTGGGATCATTCACTGAAGCACAACCAGTAAGCTAACTTCATGCCCGCTTGGTTTTATCCAAACATGTGCCGTCGGTCTGACTTTCTCATCTCATCTTTTCACTTGCGTTTGTGGCTCTGCAGTGCTGGCTGCAGCAGATCATGTGACACGCTGCTTTGAACCAAGTAACCCTGCAGGGAGAGACTTTAGGGAAAGCAACTAACCTCTTTTATTTGAGCAAGTGTATAATTTGAGCTAATTACGCATTCAATCGATCTGCTATTGTTTGCTATTTTAGCATCAGTTTCTTCTGGTCTGCTGAAGAAATCTATTGATGCACCTTCACCCAAATTAATTAAGCCTGGCTCGATATAGCTGCACCCCCTGAAACGGACAAAGAAAGGATGAGCTATGCCAAGCCTAGCTTCATCCTTCATCCTGAATTTCTGAATCCTACTTTTGAGAAACAGGCCAGTGTTCAATTGCTTGTCCACACAAACCACAAACCAGCAGATCCCACAGCAGCAGTTCAATGCTTTAAGCATCCAGATCACTGAAGTCTAAGGTGAACATCAAAGTGAGAAAGAAAAGGGGAATTAAGTGATTTAAGTGAAGCTAGTCATGATTGTTGGTGCCAGAAACTGCTAATCAGATGGGATTTTACTCAGAACCATATCTCAGTTTCACAGAAATTATCTGTCCAGTCTGATCTCAGTCTGACAGAAGGCCTTTGAGTCAACTGATGCTGTTCTGAAGACAAAACAAAGTCAGACTAAAGTGGTGTACCTAATAAAGTGACCAGTGAATGTAGAGTTCCTTCAGAGGTTTGTGGGTCATAAAGCATGTTTTCTGTAGGCCTGTTAATGTTAAAGCATTGACACTTTAAAGATGATTCTAAAAAGCTTAACGTGTTAATGTTACATCATGCAGGTTATCTGAGAAATGAACAGTGGAAGTCAATATAACATGTTAAACTGACATTAACTTACTAGTATTTATACAGAACAAACATAACGGGTCAAAACGGGCAGATACTGCAAAATATCTATCAAAATATTTTGCAATACCTAGAAAGTATTAAAAACAATTAATAGTGGACATGTTTTTTTTGTTTAAAAGCATAAACAAAAACATTTATGTTTATGCTTTTAAACATAAATGTCTTTATGTCTAAACCCTGTTTAACCCTTCCATGCTAACAGTAAGTTTAGCATGTTCCAGCTCTGTCATCAAGAACACTGATCTGACGGTCCTGGTTTTCACAGGGACAGCGGCCAGCCCGATGTTTTCTTCACTCTCAGCTACCAAAGTGAAGACGGCCCCACCAGCGTCCGCGTCCAGCTGAACAACCTGCTCTTCAGCCTGCATGGCAGCCAAAAATCTTTCCCTTCGCTGTTCGCTCTGCTTGCCTTCTACACCAGCTCCCCCTGTAGGCTGTCTGAGCCCTACCGCAGGCAGCGGCCTGAGCGCCTAAAACACATGTGCAGGAGAGCTCTGGTACGAACCTACGGTGCCGAAAGAACGTGCACCTCACCTGGACTCAGCCCTGATATTAAGGCTTATGTTAGTGCGTACCCATACTGTACATAGACAAACCTGTGGATGCAGTGCCTTTTTCTGCATTTAGATGTCATTTATTAAGTTAAAAATTGTGTATTTGTTTTTGTATTTTGCTGGAGACAATTTGGTACCACGTCTAATGAGAAAACAGATTAAAAGTTTTTTATTTATGATTTACAACATCATTGTATGCTTGACGGTTCAATCATCTCCATTTCATCTGACTGTTCGGTCTTGTTATTAAAATTTAAATGAAAAGGAAGTCATAACAAGCTACACTAATCATTCCAGACATTTTTCTTTTACCTTTCATATGACATCTACCATGTGCTTCAACAGAACAAGAGAAAACCTCTGGCTAAGTGCAGATATGAGTCTGATTTATTCCTCAGAAGCCAACAAATTTGGAGTCTCGTTTTCACAGCAGAACGTCACAGGTTAAAGGTCATATGATGGTGAAAGTTGTCAAATTGATTATCTAGCTCTCGTCTTTTTTGCATCAGAAAATCCAGACATTTTAACAAGGGTGTAGATGTTTAGCTTCACTGTTTTAAAATCCTGAGGCAAATGTGGAAACTTTTTTTAGGTAGCATGTTGCCTAAAAACGTCTTCAGGCAACATGTTGCATATCTATACCTCATCTTGCAATAATATAGAGAAAATGAGAAATGCCATTGCTGCAAGTGTCTTTACAGTTAATAACATTTGATCTGTGAACAATAACAATCTGTAATATGCTTAGTATTTTATTTCAGGAAAACAAGAACATAATTTTCAAAGCATCTCGTGGTGAATTACATAATTCACCATGAGCGACATGTTACAAATTAAGAAATTCATATATTTTCTGTCTCATGCAGTGTTTTTATTTTGTCTCATTCAGAATGGACAGAAAAATGTTTCTCTCCATTTTTGTGGACATGAATGCCTCATTTGCATTAAGGCATTTGTAAAAACATTTCTTTGTTTTTTGGCAGTTTTATTTTTCTGTTTGGATTTGTTTATGTTTCAGTGTTGAATTTTGTTCCATTCTGCTTTTGTTTTGTATGTTATCTTATGGACAAATCAAAAAGTTATGCACTGAACCCTAAGACTGCACTTTGGTTATTCTAGTTGGAGACATTACATTTAGTTTGTCTAATGTGTGCAATTTTAAAACTAATTCAAAACTTGAATGAATTGGTCATGTTCTTGTGTTTGTGAAAATGTATATATTGGTACCAATGCAGCTCTCACACAAGCTTTTCTGAAGGCTTTTCCATTTTTTGGACAAATGAAGCTGTAATTTTTGGCTAACTTTGTATATTATTGCAACCATATTTATTTTAGGTCATGCCAGTTTTACTTTGTTAATATGAAGCCTAGGCGTAAATTCAAACTGATTACAACCTATCGGAGATGGCCTCCTCCTCCAATCATCAAGCGTCGCTCCCTTGATAAGGTCCAGCTGTTCATCGGTTTCCGCTCTTTGGCTGAGCTTCAATCAGGCTGCGGCTCAACCTCGTCATGGCTTTACGATTTCACGTGTCTTCAGTCTTTCATGGAAATACTGGACTTTTTCTTCTTTTTATTCAGGCTGGAAAAAGTTCCCGTTGCGCATTTGGCACAAATTTCTGCTCTTACCAGGTCAATCTCACTCAGCTCTGGGATAATCTATCCCCAAACCCACTTGTTGCAACTTTGCATCACAGGATCCCCTCCAGCCGCCTTCAGTAGAATGTGAACCTTCAACCTCGGTGGGATTCTCCTTCCTCTGATCCAGTTTCCAACTTCTCATCCGGGGTTTATACAGGAATCCCAGAGTTGAATTTACTGCTTTTTTACTATCTGAACAATATTTTTACTACTGACACAAACTCAAGCCAAATTCGCTCCGATTTCCTCCATTTTAGAAGATTGGTGATCGGTCGATATCTACGTGAAGCCGATCTCGTCCTCTGATCTTTTCTACTTGAGCGAAGGTCTATAAATCAGTCTCTTCTGCTCTGCAGTGAGAGGTTTGGCTGATGGACCGGCCCAAACGGTCCGGTCTGCAAGCTTGTAGTTACCAACAGAGACCCCACTGTTACCAACTCAGAGACTTTATTCTCATATTTAACAACGTTTCAATCAAAAATGCCACCAGCTAAAATCCAAATGGGCAGGTCAAACATTTTACAGACTGATCATCTACGATCTGAGAGAAGCTGCAGTCGCTTCACTGACCCATGGAAGATAACAGCTCCTGGAAAACTTTATCCCACTGACTTGAAGGTCTGACTGACTTTAACTCTCGTTGAAAACAGGAAGCACTATTTTTAGTGCTCATCCTAAATTCATAAAACTTGGGATTTTTGTTTTTTAAAAGAATATCAGTAAAATGGAATAACATTCCAGGTTTTATTCTACTAATTGTCAACACTAGGACATAACAAGGTTCAAAGGTATCATATTTCACAGGTCATTGAAAGGTTTAAATAAAACATCCCTGTTGACACAGCAACTGTCCGACCATCCAGCTGATCAAAGGATCTGATCAACCACAGCTGTGATCAGATCATCATTTTAGAAGCAAACAAACATCAAGCCTGAAAACATGAAACTGTAAAGAACTGAATGTGTTGCCCTTTGTGTGGGAAACATTTGCAGCTTTTATGATGTTGGACCCTCATACATAAAGTGGAGCTGTTTGTTGCTATGGCAACCAATCTGTGTGTAGCTAGCCGACAAGGAAAGTGAAGGAGGAAACGAGAGGTTTTGAGTTGTTCTTTATGTTCCCTTTGCTGCGGCACACTGCTCTAAATTAAGAAGGTTTCGTTTAGTTACCACATAAACTGCAGTTTGATCCTCTACCAAACCTGAGAGTTTCAGGAGGTAAGAATCGATAAATGACATGAAAAATCAACCTTGTGAACTATTCGAATGGCTCTTTTGCGTAATCTGCATCATGGTTGAAGTGAAGTTTTGTGAGTGTTGCCCAAACTTCCATTAGTCTTCATTTTTGGGAATGAAATGGAAATTATTGTATTTTACAACTTAAAAAAAATAGGTGAGGTGAGTTTATTTTGTGCAGCATTGGTGATACACAAGGCAGTGGAACATATTTTACAGAAAAACAAATGAAGAGCAAAGTAAAAAAATACTTTAATAGACAAAAATTGGGAAAAGAAATCTTCAGCATTTCAGATAAAGAGAAAAAATTAATTCAAAGGAATTAAAATTCACTTGTTTCAGGAAAGTTGCTTCATTAAACAATTGTTTCCAATTGTTTAATGAAGCCACTGGTTCTGTACATGCCCCTGCAGCCCCCTGCTGGGTTCCAGGGGGCTGATGCCTATCTCTCTAGTGGTAATTGGGCAGGAGGAGGAGTAAATCCTGGACAGGTTTCCAGATTTTTACTTTGCAACTTCCTCAGTGAGATCTTTGCAGAAACACCTTTGCAGTGCCTGCAGTGCCTGCAGTGCCTGCAGTTGGACGGTTGAACCCGCTCTGCCTACCTTAACATTTTCCATAAAGTAAAAAAAGAAAAGAATAATTTCTGAAATTTTTATTATCGAACATTCTTTACAATGAACAAAATTGCGGGGGAAAAAAAAAGATCTTATGTGTCAAAATGTCTTGTACGCAGTGCACATCTGAGTCTGAGGGGGTCAAAGGGCACGCCAAAGCTTAAATCATATTGGTCCGTTTGCTTTTGTTTACTTGGCAGCTTGGTGCTTTTTCTGGAAGCAAAAAATGAATGAGCAGTTTGAACGTCCCGTCGCTCTTAGAGCGGTTGAGCTTTACCGTGTTCGGTTCTGGCGGGTCCAGTTAGCAGACGTCTGCCGCTCTTCCTGAGCGTCGCGCTAAGACTGGGATCAACAATTGAATCTAGTCGAAATGTTCCCCAAAGAGTAAAAATGAAGCAAACGTTGCTTCACCTTCTCCTTGGACGTCTGGCACCAGCTGAACCTGGGAATCAACATCCTCAGCTTTCGCTTAAATGTCTTTACTATTTAGCATCGTTTGTTTAAAAAATGGGTTTTGCTGTTTTCGTGGTTTAGGTTTGTGTTGGTTTTGTGCGGTTGATGCGGTTGGAGAGGTGCAGTGATAGTTTAGATCGTCCGATCTGTCAGACATTTTTTTTTCAACATCTGCTGGTGTCATCCAATGGGAGAGGGTTAGGCTCAGCTTTTAAGTTCGCAAAATCACAAAAAAAAGCTAATAAACAGGCGACCCGCCAGAACTGCACACTGTAAAAAGCTCAGGCTGATCTTAGAACAATGGGAGCTTCAAACTCCACTCATTCATTTCAGCTGACAGGAAAAGCAAACTGACCAATAAGATTTAGGCTTTGGCCTGCCCTTCGACCCCCACAGACTCACACTGATGTGATACAAGATGTTGTGGCACAAAACATCTTTTTCTCCTCTTCACAATTTTGTTAATAGTAAAGAGGGTTGATAACTATTGTCAGTTGTCCCTAACATTAATGTGACCAGGCAGCATTTAATCATATTAATACCTACATATATATATATATATATATATATATATATATATACTATTGTTATGAAGGCTAAGCCAAGAAATTTTCTGTCCATATCAAACAAGTAGCCCTTTGTGTTACTCTGTTCCTGTGAATCAGCTCCCAGTCTCAAAAAGGTTGGGCTACACATTTGCCTCAGACATCAGTCCTGAGAGTTTTTACAGCCTGCAGCTGAGTGGACCAAGCCACCATTAAACAGGTAAAAAAAATTCTAATCAGAAAAACAAGAACATTATTCATCTAATTTACAAACTCATCTACATAATGAAATGGTCTGAAAAATAAACCATGTAGTCGAAGATAATTCAAAAAGTTACTTCAAAGAAAAAACAAAGTGATCCTTCAAAGAAAACCCTCTAATTGGTTGAACCCAGCAAGATAATTAATGATGTCATCAAGCAGGAAACACTGGGCTGGCCCCTCCCATAAATCTACAAGGATAAACAATGGTGAGTAAAAAAGAAACCAAATACCATGAATATACTGTGAAACAAAATAAACAAATTTAACCAACAATCCAAAAGTAATCATTTTAACCTAAATATATAAATAGATGTAAACTGCAACATAATGCTAACACAAACAAACCCGGGATAGTAAGTGAAGCAAAGTTGCAAAGTAATGTTTAAATTGAAGCATTATGACCAGCTACAGAAAGTAAATGAATCAGAAAGAAGAATTCCACCTCGGTCACTTCTTAAGGTAAATTGATTGTGCTGGATATTATTTAGGGGGTATCAGAGTAAAAGGGGGGTGAATGCAAAGTAAAAGACACAATTTAGATTTTTTTGTTTAAAAAATTGAAAACAATACAATATTTGTACTTTGAAATTATTCTTTGTTTTGTATTACTCCATCACAGAAATCCAAATGACAGCATCCCAGTGAATGAAAAGGGACCATTTCATTTTGAAGTGAAAATGGTTCCTTTTCACTTCAATACCTTCTACCTTCCAAAAGTACTCAGAGTTTTGAATACTTTTGGAAGGTACTGCATCTCAGTTTTCTGCAAATTTCTAAGCTCAGGTCTATTTTAGAAGAAATGATTTATAAACTTTTTTAACAGTGTATATTTTTGTGCTGTCTGATCATTTGACATTTGGTGTGAGAGACCCCGTGCCCTTATAACTGGGTCAATTACATTAAGCTGACTGGAAACCTTTCTGTGCTCTATATCAGCTCTGCAGTATGTGCCAGTGCTCACTGCCAATTTTGTATTTTTTTTCTCAAATCATATCTTCAGTCATCTGCTCTACTTCCTGTCCTAAATTTGACAGAATGGTCCCTTTTCACTTAAATTAGCACCAAGAACACACACACACACACACACACACACACACAAACACACACACACACACACACTCACACACACACACACACACACACACACACACACACACACACACACACACACACACACACACACACACACACACACACACACACACACACAGCACTCAAACTTTTCTGATTCTCCATTTCTCTCTCTCATTAACCTTAAACAAGTTGTTAACCCTCAGTGCAGTTCATGTCAAGAGCAATCTCAAATTCAATTAATGAGAACATTATTGAAAAGTTCATTTATTTCAGTAGCAGAATGATGATTTCAAGCCTTTTTTGTTTTGACTATTTTCTGTTTAAAATTGATGAAAACA